TTCTTAAATCATTAATAACCATGAAATAGTGATCCAATCGGTGTTTTATTTCTCCTTGTATAGTAACAATTTGAGCCGTATTATGATCAGATAGGTAACAGTCAAATGTTTCACCAGTTGCATTTGTAACATTACTGATGATGTTATCTATACACTTGGTAAGCCTAGTTGGTTGATGTATTAAACATTGCATTCCAAAATTAGATATCAACTCTTTGAAATTTGTAGTATTTGTATTAGATGTTAGTAGATCTATGTTAAAGTCTCCACAAATTACTATTTTATGTTTTTTGTGTTTTAGTCTTGACAGAGTTGTGCTGAAATGTTCAAAAAAGATATTTATGTCGGAATTAGGTGTTCTATAGATGCATATTATGATTAGCTTTACCTGTTGTATTTCTATACCACAGATTTCAAAGTGTTTTTCTATTGCGAGATCATGTATTATATCTAGCTTAACACTTTTATAACCTCGCCTACACAGAATACATGTACCTCCACGCCTTTGATCCTGTCGTGAAAAAATAGCCGCAAGATAAAAATCGTTTAAGTTAAGATATTTTTCCTCGCCATTTATTATGAAATGTTCACTTAAACATAAAAAATCCACATTTTTATTTAGATCATATAGCTCTTGTAATACTACTTCCAATTCTTGAATTTTGTTTAAGATTCCAGCAATGTTCTGGTGTAATATTGCAAATGAATGTTTAGGGTCGAAAAAAATTCTTACTCATTCTTTTTGTAGTTGTATCTACTTGCAATGGTTTTTTAATAGTAGGGAAATAGAATGGTATTGTACCTTTAACGGGTTGTGGGTTATGTATGTCTTTGTGTAAATTATTATCTGTTTGTGTATTTTTTTGGGAGCATTGAAAGTAATATGGTATCGTGCCCCTTTTTGGCCTTTCATTGTTTGTGCGATGAGCATTTACGAAGTTACCAGAAGTTACTTGATGATTATGTAGAACAGTTTCAGCTTTATGATTGTTATAGGAAAGAAATTTGTTACTGTACTGAAGACAATTTATATTATATATTATTTTTTGCGTGACATTATGAACATCTGTTTCTATGAATGTACAGTTTTTGTGGATCCTACTAAGAAGTTTCAATTCATCATTAAGTTTTCGTTCATTGAGTACCTTATTATGCAGAACATTCACAATAAATACATTACATTCCTTTAGAAAAAACAAAGCAACAGATACCTCAGACATAAATTCCATGGGGTTTGAATCATTGCTCCCAGTTAATATGACCACATTATCCTTCGGAGTTAGTAATTTAGCCATGTTCCTGCACTCAGCCAAGACGTATTTGGATTTAGCATTTGGTTTTGTAATAGACTGAATATTATAATCCCGAAGCACTAATTGATTTGTTTTCCAGTAGTTCGTTAATAATACCTTTCCCTTGATTATCCGATAACAACAATATTCTTCCTTTTTCTTTATTAATTTTCTTTGCCCGTTGTACCTCTTTCAGTGGTGAATTTAGGTGCCTGTTGTTACTACTACTACTGTTGCGTTCCAAATTACAATCGGTTTTGTCCTCGACGATACTATTTTTGTTGGATTGTACTGGTGAATATAAGTGAGTCGAGGATTTCGGGGTGTGAAATTCTAAGTCCAAATCCAATTTCCTTGCAGAGAACTTGGACTTTTTTATTGTTGATGTGTTTTTTGACTTCTTTATAACGTTGATGTTGGATGATCCATTAAGTTTCCTAGTACTTAAGTTAGTACTAAAACTTGTACACATGTTCTTAAGTCGCTCATTTTTCTGCATTTCTTCTTCTAAGGTTTGCTTCAACATGGAATTATCTAAATTAAGTTTTTCTATTTCCGTGTGAGCACTTAACAATTGCCCTCTTAAGTTTTCAATCATGTTTTGAAGTTCCAATACTTCATCACTCTTGGTATGTGTGGATAAATCCATCATACTTCTAACACTCAAATTTAAACACGAATTATCAAGTGAATCAATGGATCCGTTTGAATGATATCTCCGGACGCGCCGGTTTCTGAGGTTAATATTATTATTATTCTCCATGATGATCTCTTTTTTATTATTTACAGAAGTACTCTGCTTGTAATGGAACGTGAACCCAAAAGGCAGGATTCCAAGTTTGTTGCCTAATGGAATGTCAATTTCTGAACGACTAATCTCACGTCACTTAATATTTACAATTCACATTAATATTTATAATAGCTTTTACATTCCTTTATCTACTCAAAAAGAGCTATTGTCAGTGTAAGACAGATAGTTGACCCCTATTAACTTTTCACTGACAAGAAATGTTCATTATTTACATAATTTGCACCTCTGCCTACCCACCCCTTCAGACATATAAACTTTAAAATAAACTTACCTATAATTATTGACTGGGTTCGGTATTTCAGCGACTACTCCAGAGTAATACGACTCGCGCTTATTCGAGTCCTTGAACAAAGCTATCAGACGGGTACCTGTGTAGAGAAACATAAATTATTATCATAATGCTATATATAAAAGCTATATATAAAAATATGAATGCGAAACCATGTCCAACTAATATTTCAATTCACCCCCTCCCCATCCCCCTAAATCCTCCAATCCTCAAGTCCCCCAAATGGGTTGGAAAAATTTTACGCTATGACTATTGTAAATTATTATGTTTTCGGCTTACTCACGTAATAATTCGACTCAGAACTCGACTAGTTTCAAGCCATGCTAGAGGCTCATATGCATGAGCAGCATTGCGCTGCTACTAATCAGATAGTAGCAGCGCGACAGACGTTGCGTCGAGGGTCGCGAAACGCTTTAATAATTTCTAAGTGACATTACAAGACCGGAGTGATACCACCAGTGATACGGCCGAGCAGAAAACTATATTGTAATTTTGTACGAGATTATGTATTGTGACGTCACATTTGACTGCACGGTTGGTGCGGTAGCTGGGCAACCGGCTGCCGTGCAACGTGTCGCGGGTTCGATTCCCGCACGGAACAACACTTTGTGTGATCCACAAATTGTTGTTCCGGGTCTGTGTGTCATGTGTATGTGAACTTGTATGTTTGTAAACGGACACACGACACAGGAGATAATCCTAGTGTGGGGCAACGTTTAAAAAAAAAATTAAAAAAAAATATAGCGTCAAACAGCATACTTATTTCTCAAAAATTCATAGAATATTGGTCCTCCGGTAACCTCACCCACACGATGAACGCAACGCTGTGTTTGCGTCGCTACGGTTTTCTGCTCGGCCGTGGTATCACTCCGGCCGTGTAATGTCACTTAGAAATTATTGAAGCACCAAAATGTCAGTGGTGTATTTATGTGTGCGTGTAATATAATACATGGATACTTAATTTCAGTATTCAATGAGACTCACCAGACTCCCAGATACAAATATAGTACGAGAGATGACGACCAAAACCATGTCTCATAGCAATACGGCAAAAACCCTATAAAATCGTTAGATTGTATGATTCTGAACCCGACTAGGTGTGTAGTAACGGTCGAAAGTGTAGCAACTGCGTGGGAGGCCATTTCTGCTGTGTCAAAAATATCTGAGTATCGAAAAGTTGTCTGATAGAGAAGGTGCTGCACTTATTTTGTCTGATATACATTTTTTGCACATGTGGACAACTTATTTTATCATGTCCAACAATTTTCAGACATATTGCCATGATACCGATCGGTAAAATTTGTTAACATTTTCTGGTGTTTTTGTGGTCAGATCAAACGCTACGCGGAAAATGTCTGATATTGATATTTTCGAGTTCAGGGTAATCGTATCTATCGATTTGAGGCGGTTTTGGCCCTATTGCAATGAGACAAAAATTTTGGTCGTCATCTCTCTAACTAATACAAAATTAGTTGGTCATAAAATCAATGAATGAAAGTGTGATTATTTTTTCATGTTCAAAGAGATGCTCACCTATAGTCATTCTTACATCAGCCGGCTCTGAATACGCTATACACCGCGCTGGCAGTATCTTCCCGCCCGTTTTGGTTTTGTGGTCGAATTTCACGCGACATAGAGAAAACATGTTGCCCTGGAAGAAAAATTTACAAATATGATCATAAAGCCTCGTTGGCCGAGTGGTCGCAAGTGCGACTACCGGGCAAGGGGTCTCGGGTTCGATTCCCGGGTCGCGCAAAGTATTACTGGGTTTTAAATATCTCAGTAGTAGCACGGGGTCTGGAATTGTGCCCGGTATATGGCAATAGGCTCACCCCCTATTACATGGGACTCATAACATAAATAGTGAAAAGTGGAGATTTTGATGCGATTTTTAGCAAAACATTTGTTACATTCACCCTTACTAACCTAAGAGTTTACCGAAGGCCCAATTACCCTCTCCTTCCCCAATCTCCCCAATCTCTGAATCCCCAACGATCCTTAAACTACTAATCCCTAAAAAGCCGGTAACGCACTTGTAACGCCTCTGGTGTTCCAGGTGTCCATGGGCGACGCCGATTGCCGGCTTATACCATAAAAAAAAGACTTAAAAATGGAGATTCCGAATTACCCTTGCATGTATTTATTCATACACTCAGTGCGAACCGTCGGGTTCCGTCCCCTGTAGAGCAGCACACAGGTAACAGTAGATGTCATATCGCTAGTGCGACTTCCTAGCATCGAGTCCCGAGTTGGGAACTTCTTTTCGGAAAATTTACCAAAGCAGTTTGCAATATAGTGTAACTTACCCCGGCAGTATTCTTGGGCAGCATCTCGATTATCTTGCCCTTGAGCCAGGGTCCGAAGGCATTCTTCATGGCGTAGACTGACATATTGACACGCAGGGGAGGGCGCGATATCTCGCCAGGTGGGGGCAGGTCGGCCGGGGCTGACTCCGCTGATAGTTTCACTACTGATATGTCTTTCTGTGGGGGGAAGAAAGATTATTACATTACAAAGATATCATGGAGAAACACATGCACACACATACACGCTCTTTCTCTCTCTCCCACTCACTCGCTCACTGTCTCTCACATACTCATTAAACTGTCAATCACCAAGCGGTCACCGGTGACCGCAACCTATTGTTCTATAATTGTGTCTATAATGACGGTACTCGCCGAGTTAACTCGCTCAGTCAGTCATTCACTAACTCAGTCTGTCAGTCACTAACTCTGACAGTCAGTCTGCCAGTTATTCGATCGGTCACTAACTCGCTCGGTGATTCAGTCATTCAATAACTCAGTCAGTTTATCAGTAATTTACTAACTCAGACAGTCGGTCTGCCAGTCAGGCGGTCACTAACGCGCTCAGTTTCACTAACTCGCCTAGTCATTCAGTTACTAGGACCGACAGTCAGTGAGCCAGCAGGTCAGTAACTCAATCGGGTAGGTAGTCAGTCAGTCAATCAACCACCTTACGTTACGTTTAATAGGTTAAAGTTATATTTTACTTACATCGTCCTCCATTTTAATATCTGGCGCTGATGTCGAGGTTGTAGGTTTTGGATCCTGAAAATGAGAAACAAGAAATTGTTATTGACAAAGAGAAGATAAGTGGGCGAGAGCCATGCTTCGGCCCTGCTGGGCCGGCTCGCCCGGAGCGATACCACGGCCGAGCAGTACACCGCAGTGACACACAGCGTTGTGAGCAGTCGGGGGAGTGAGGTAACCGGAGGCACAATTACCCACTCCTCCAATCTCCCCAATCCCTGAATAGGCGTGTCGACAGGGTAAAAAAATCAAAAAAGTAATTAGTCCGTCATTAAGATCGCACGAAAATATCAGACACGTATTTTTTGTTTTATCAAATTAACAGAAGAATACGTAGTTATTCCGCATTAAAGTTAGGGAGTGGGGGGTGTTGACGTCACACTTACGGAGAAATCGTACCTAACTGTAACGTCACGCGTCATTTTAACTCACAATATCTACATGTTTTTTTGGATACGAGAAAAAAGAAAAAATACGTATTGAAGATTTTTAAAATATCTAAAAGACGGACAAAAAATTAAAAAATTGTCGCCATGCCTATTGTGGAGAAGTTAAATTAAGTCTGTTTTAACATTCACCATAACTCACTAATAATTATGTTATATCCCGTTATGCGGTTAGGTTTTGATATATCTCGTCACATCACATCACAGCACGTTATCATATAACATACCTTAGGTTGTCCTAATGGCGTGTATCCTAGCGCAATGGCAGTCTTCTTGGCTGGCAGCTCGTCGCTTGAAGATTTACGACGTTTGGCCAGTCGAGTTTGGGACTGTAAATTAATAAAATTGTTATTATTAATAATTACAATTGGGATGATGACCGGGTATGAAAATTAAAAATCTAATTAGTCCGTAAGTTAGGTAATTAAAAAATATTAGACACGTATTTTTTTTATTTTGTCGTATAATAAAACAATACTTAGATAAAACGAATAAAAGTTTAGGAGTGGGGGCTAAAACGTCATTTCTACGTATAAAACGTGCCCTTCGGGGATAAAAGAGGTGATGTTATGTGTGTGTAAGGCATAGAAATTTAAAATACGTATTACCTCAGACTCCTCGGTTTGTTCCTTCGGCGTCAAGGAAGGTTCGTCCGCTTCTAAAGCTACGAACTGAAATAAACAGAAGCACTATTTTATCAAGACATATTAGGCACTGTACTATCTTTTACCGTCAACATTATAACATAATATTGCACGGTTGGTGCTGTGGCTGGGCAACGTGCCGCGTGTTCTATTCCCGCACGGAACTACTCTTTGTGTGATCCACAGATTGTTGTTCCGGGTCTGTGTGTGATGTGTATGTGAACTTTATGTTTGTACACGTACACACGACACAGGAGGAAATCCTAAAGTGGGCCAAAATTTTTTATAAAAAAAAAACTCTCCTACTCAACCCCCCGCCCCCCCCCCTTCCCTCCTTCCCAATCTTCTAATTACCTGAATCGCCACTGATCCTCAAATTCTTAATCTCCAAAATGCCAGTAACGCACTTTTAACGCGTCTGGTGTTCAGGTGTCCATGGGCGGCGCCGACTGCTTACCATCAGGTGATCCGTCCGCTCGTTTACCGGCTTACCCAATAAAAAAAATTATCCCTGTTCCACATTTCCTTTTATTTTGACGTGATTGAGAAACAAGCATACATACAAACACACGAACTTTATCATTTATTATATTAATAAGATAATCAAGTTAAGTAAAAGTTTCCAATATGACTGTCTCGTTGGCCGAGTTCTTAGTAGTATTAGTATAGTATAGTATAGTATAGTATAGTATAGTATAGTATATATAGTAGTGTAGTATAGTTCTTAGTACTTCTAGTTCTCGGGTTCAATTCCCGGGTCGGGCAAAGTATTACTGAGTTTTTAAAATTTTCAGTAGTAGCACGGAGTCTCGGGTTGTGCCCGGTATATGGCAATAGACTCACCCCCTATTACATGGGACTGATAACATAAATAGTGAAAAGTGGCTGTTACATTGTAAAGTGGCATTAAGTGCCGCAATGTACACCCCTTCGGGGATAAAAGGCGTGAAGTTATGTTTCCAATATTATTTAGGCCGTACCTTAAGATCTGGCATGTCAAACAAGACCAGAGGAGTGAGTTCCTTCCTCCTGCACTCGAAGGTAGCGTACAGCTCGTTGCGAAGCTTGTCTGTGGCCACCTGACACTCGTTCAACATCGCATCTATTTCTTTGCTGTCCTCTGTTGAGCAAAATAATGGTTATAATAGTCCAACATAACGTTATGATGTTACATAACGCTATATTAACATTATGTTATGTTATGTTTTGATACGTTACGTTATACATGGTGTTATATATAAAACAAGTTGTATTTTCATAAACGTAAGGAAATAATTAATATATAATATAATAATAATAATACGTAAGAAAACATTAATAAAATATTTATATTTACAATAGACCGTTGTATGTATACTGTCATTGTAAAAATTATATTAGATATAGTTGTCAACTTATTGCACCGACCACGCTCTCACTGCATCACCTAAAGGTTGGCTAGTAAGAATGCCCATGGCATTAAGCCCGCCTATGTACTTTTGTTGCATAAAGTAAAATAAATAAAAATAAAATAAAAAAAAATGGTTGCCTGTAAAGTCGTTTTTACGGGCGAAGATTTTACGTGACAACGTCTTTTTCTCGGTAGAATATTTATTGATATGAATATAATTAAATTGCACAATAGGAACAAGGAATTGAATGAACTAGTGCTGCGCGCGCGGCAGACCGATCATAGTTGAGTGGGAGAGAGACGCAAGGCATTCGGCGGGCCTCTCTCTCGTTCGGTGACTCATCGTAACGTTACCGAGCGTTACACTTTTTCATAAGTGTATCCCAGCCGCAACCTAATTTAAGACGTTGTCACGTCAAAATAATTGTCTCTTTTACGCAATAATAGTTGTAATCAATTGCTCAACGCTGATGTTGCATGAATAACACGAAAACAGAAACGATTAAAATATATTATATTTACATTCTGTATTATGTTATATTATATTACACTAGCTTCTTCGTACGCGCAATCCCGTTTTCTCCAGTTCTCATAAGATTTTCAGGTTTTTTTTCTATCATAAGAACCTTCTCCTGACAATAACAAACACAACAAAAAAAAAATCAGCCAAATCGGTCTAGCCGTTCTCAAGTTATGGCGTGACAACGGGAAATGGGTTTCATTTTTATATATATAGATAGATTATGTCCTTTTACGATATACTACGTTGTAATATGTTGAAATGTTATGTTATACAAGGTGTAGTTTTGAGAAACCGTGGCATTTCTCGGGGGCGTGTCAAAGAAGTCATAAAGGATTTTTTCGTGCCAATAGTTAAAAATACGGCTATAATAAATCGTTTAAGTTCGACAATATTTCAGAATAAGCGACAGCAATGTTTCTTATTGGAGTTTTATTGAATTAGGAATAATATCAATTACTTGTTTGAGTTTGTGTGTGTTAAGCCGCGTTATAAAACTAGTTACAAGACGGCGGCGAGTAGTTCGCACTTACGGATTTCCATTTTTACTTACGATTTTTTTATTGATTCGGACTCAGAATCGATTGGCAAGCTACCTCGTAGAAAATGACGCGGCTTTAACTCGTCGAGTACCGTCATTATAGACACAATTATAGAACAATAGGTGGCAGTCACCGGTGACCGCTTGGTGTTTGACAGTTTAAAACAACACCTTGTATTATAATACTTTACGTTATGCTACGTTACGTTACAATAACAATACACTCACTCTCAAGTTTATTAATCTCATCATCCAGCATAGTTTGAGTCTCCTTCAGTCTGGCGTCCATGTTGTATTTTTTCCACGTCTCATTGAAGTATTGCGCTAGATTGTCTTCTAGGAACCTATAAAATGTAAAATAACAT